CTCTACTGCTTTGATAGGATATTATAAGTATCCTGGTGTATGTAAAAAGTATGAAAAGCACAGGGAGAAGTGCAAAATTGACTAGCATGATCATATCATGTATAGTATGCATTGTTGAAATCACACACTGAAGTTTCTAAACTACTGTACATTGTTGTGAAAGATTCCTTGTAAAATATGGCTACAGTTTTTCTTTGGCAGTGAAACCAGTTGCAACTGCCATCTGACATACAGGCAGAAGCCAAGCTAAAAGTAACAGAATACAGAGAGTAGTTTTTCTCATGATAACTGGATACTGCAGAGGTTTATATATGGACACATACCTGTCATAGGCCATGACTGCCAACAGTAAGAACTCTGAACTGAGTAAGGAGTAAAATATATCAAACTGAAAGAGATAGGCTGAATATGATATGATCTGTTTCTTGGATAAAAAGTCAACCAACAGCAATGGGTAGACAGAAGAGCTCAAAAGAAGTGAGTTGATTAACAAAGCTGCAATGAAAATGTACATAGGCTTATGGAGGTTTTTGTGAATCTAGATGAGACGTACAATAGTACAATTACTGCAGATGATTAGAATATATGCTGTAAATATTTCCACAAAATAAGCATACCTGTATTTGTCTACATCCACATGCCCACCAAATGTAAAATATGTTACATTTGTCGTGGCAAGAGTGATATACCAACTGAATTAATTCAGACAAACCATTACAATTTACAGGATCATTTAATATTACAATTATTCTGAATAGAGTAGTATTCAAACACATAATATTGTAGTTAGGGAACAGAGAACAGAGATCAGAGAACAGAGACTCTCCTCTTGCAATGGACTAGATAAAGCCTAAGAAGATTGTTAAAGCCCCAGTCAGTCAGATCATTTGTTATTAGTCCCGAGTCAGCGTCTTCCCCAGCCGGCTGGGTCCCCAAAAAGTACATCGTCTACTGTTCACTGCAACATGGTCCTTTTTCCTCTCTCCTCTCAGGCTCACTCCTTTCTTATCCGCAGCCTCCCTTATGCTGTTGCGTCTATTTCTGAACCTAACTTCCTGTCTCCAGTTTCGGGAGACAACACCCTGAGATGTACTTCAAAAACAGGAAACATCTTGTTCCTGTTTTCCAACTCACATCGCACAATCAAATAAAAAACTGAATAATTGGGCGTGCAAAATTATTCAGCCCCTTTACTTTCAGTGCAGCAAACTCTCTCCAGAAGTTCAGTGAGGATCTCTGAATGATCCAATGTTGACCTAAATGACTAATGATGATAAATAGAATCCACCTGTGTGTAATCAAGTCTCCGTATAAATGCACCTGCACTGTGATAGTCTCAGAGGTCTGTTTAAAGCGCAGAGAGCATCATGAAGAACAAGGAACACACCAGGCAGGTCCGAGATACTGTTGTGGAGAAGTTTAAAGCCGGATTTGGATACAAAAAGATTTCCCAAGCTTTAAACATCCCAAGGAGCACTGTGCAAGCGATAATATTGAAATGGAAGGAGTATCAGACCACTGCAAATCTACCAAGACCTGGCCGTCCCTCTAAACTTTCAGCTCATACAAGGAGAAGACTGATCAGAGATGCAGCCAAGAGGCCCATGATCACTCTGGATGAACTGCAGAGATCTACAGCTGAGGTGGGAGACTCTGTCCATAGGACAACAATCAGTCGTATACTGCACAAATCTGGCCTTTATGGAAGAGTGGCAAGAAGAAAGCCATTTCTTAAAGATATCCATAAAAAGTGTCGTTTAAAGTTTGCCACAAGCCACCTGGGAGACGCACCAAACATGTGGAAGAAGGTGCTCTGGTCAGATGAAACCAAAATCGAACTTTTTGGCAACAATGCAAAATGTTATGTTTGGCGTAAAAGCAACACAGCTCATCACCCTGAACACACCATCCCCACTGTCAAACATGGTGGTGGCAGCATCCTGGTTTGGGCCTGCTTTTCTTCAGCAGGGACCGGGAAGATGGTTAAAATTGATGGGAAGATGGATGGAGCCAAATACAGGACCATTCTGGAAGGAAACCTGATGGAGTCTGCAAAAGACCTGAGACTGGGACGGAGATTTGTCTTCCAACAAGACAATGATCCAAAACATAAAGCAAAATCTACAATGGAATGGTTCACAAATAAACATATCCAGGTGTTAGAATGGCCAAGTCAAAGTCCAGACCTGAATCCAATCGAGAATCTGTGGAAAGAACTGAAAACTGCTGTTCACAAACGCTCTCTATCCAACCTCACTGAGCTCGAGCTGTTTTGCAAGGCGGAATGGGCAAAAATTTCAGTCTCTTGATGTGCAAAACTGATAGAGACATACCCCAAGTGACTTACAGCTGTAATCGCAGCAAAAGGTGGCGCTACAAAGTATTAACTTAAGGGGGCTGAATAATTTTGCACGGCCAATTTTTCAGTTTTTTATTTGTTAAAAACGTTTGAAATATCCAATAAATTTCGTTCCACTTCATGATTGTGTCCCACTTGTTGTTGATTCTTCACAAAAAATTACAGTTTTATATCTTTATGTTTGAAGCCTGAAATGTGGCAAAAGGTCGCAAAGTTCAAGGGGGCCGAATACTTTCGCAAGGCACTGTATATGAAGTACATACTGTTCTATGGCATAGTTCTTCTGGAATCTGATTTATTTTTAACTACTACACATTCATCAATTCATCATCCATTAAAGTTGTTAAAAATATGTGAATATGTGTATACAGAAAACGTAGATCATCTTTGAAAGATTAACTGTCACTATTTATCATGTAACCTGCACTGGAAAGTGTATTCTTCTCCAGAATTCAGAATGGAGTGGTCATATGTGTGGAATATCTTTTATAAGATTTCTTCACTCTCCATGGAGCTCATTAAACTCTTCATCAAAAAAACACCCACATCACAACCTTGTGTAGGTCAGGCCACTGAGTCTAAGCAAAGAGAATGGAACACATTTAATCTTCCTGAGTTCCTGAGTAAATGCTGTAGCACCAAAGCAAAACTGAGTCTCAGAGGAAATCACTAATGATATTTGACAATGGTGATAATGCCCCTATTCAAAGGGCACAAGGGATCATTTAATGGTTTAATGAGTATGAAAATGATGTGAATTTTATGCTATGGTCTTCACAGTCACCAGATCTCAACCCAGACTAACATCTATGGGAGATTTTGGACCGACATGTTAGACATCCCTCCCCACCACTATGATCAACCAATGCCAATGCCAGGACATCCTGATAGTAAAGAGTTACAGTAGTCCAGCCTGGAAGTAACAAGGATAGGACCATGCAGTTAAGGTGAATGGGGGATTGTGCACATGTGGCTATTTGGTGGCAGTAACACACACAGAAAGTGAGATAGTTCATAACTGGCAACATGTTGCTCATAGCTTGTACCAAGGCAGTTTCTGTAGGGATGAGTTTCAAGATTTACTGTGAAGATATCACACATGGATATAGGATATATACAGTAACTGGTTGAAAACATGGGACTGGAGAAAACTCCGAATGATGCATGAAATGTAGAGTTTGTTAAGGTAGCTCAAACACAGAGACATGCGAACGGGAAAAAGACGGACCCAGGTAGCTGGTTTTGGTGCAAGCAGTGATATTTATTTACAGTGATACAGTACAATAATAGAGACATGATGTAGGTAGGGGTAACCAGGTCTTGATCAGCAGCAGATGCAAAACAGTCAGTGGTGGATGATACTGGACCGGGCTGCAGACGCTGGGATAACTCCTGGGCTGGTTGAGGTAGGGATGATGGTGGCTGAGGAGACAGGAGCATGTACAGACAGATTAAAGGAGACTGTGCATCGGCCTGTATGGTGGAGGCTGGCAGGGCTGAGATGATCCTGGGTCAAGAGGAGCAGTCTGTAGAGGAGGAAAGAAACAGTGGGATGAAAAAGAGGTGCGAATAATACAGAAGACTAGTAACTGGCGTACTGGCACAACGAAGACAACGAGCATAGGGGCCTGAAGACAAAGATTGAACTGACAGGGGAGTGAACAGTGAGTAGTGTATAAGTACGGAGGGAAACTAACAAGATGCAGCTGGTAAATAATTAGGGAAGCGAGGCAGGTGTGTCGACAGAGTTTGGCCCTGGTAAACCTGCGTGCTTCAGGAGCTGCAGGGGAGCGGTGGAAAGTCCAGGGGGAACCAGGAGATTTCTGTTTTTCCTGGACTGGGTCTTCAAAAGCTGTATTTGAACTGGAATACCAAACCACTGTGAAAATCCTGCCAAGCCAAACCTATACATCACCATTCTCCTGTTTGTCCAGTGAATGACAAAAACTTCATCCTTTGGCATGGTCTGCAGGTTCAGCCAAAGCCTTTGGGTCTTCAACAAGACAAACCTTGAATATATTTGTTTATAATGGGGCCAAGATTTTAGAATAGAATAGACTTTATTGTCATTACATAGTCATGTGCAATGAAATTAGTATGCTCTTGACCAAAACAGAGTACAATAAAGACTTGGCACATTTTATAAGAAACAATCATAGTCATAACAAATGAAATGGTAACACTGATACATGTCAAAAAAGAAGTCAAGTGAAGGTAGTTACGAATGTGTATTTCATTAACACATTTTGCCACTTTCCAATTAAGACAAGAGCATCATATCATTTACTGAAAAATACAATTTGCCAGGTCATAGGCCCCAGTGAAATAGGGCCAACAACAATTGGATTCAGGCCTCAAAGGTCTGATAAAGTTTACATGTTGGTCACTACTTGTGGAAAGATTAATGAGATCCATGGAGACTGAAGCAGCCTGATAAAAACATCACACTGGCTCAGACAGTTCTCTTTATGAATTCTGGAGATGAGCACACACTACATGCATTCTAAAGTCAGGTAACTGTGACTAAGAGAATCCAAATCAGAAAAAAAAAGTTAAGAATCATCAAAGACATCATCACTACAGTTTATCCACATATTCCTGTTGCTGACTGTCTTGAAACATTTTAAATTTGTTTTTCTTAATGGAGGAAGAATCAAATCAAACATATATAACTTTTGGTGGGCATGTGGAGCTTCACAAATACAGATACCTTTATTTTCTGGTAGTTTTTACCATATATATTCTAATCATCTGCAGTAATTGTACTATTGTGTACCTGATCTGGAACCACCATGACCTCCATGAGCCTATGTACATTTTCATTGCAGCGTTGTTACTGAACTCTGTTCTTCTCAGCACTAATATCTACCCAAAGCTGTTGATTGACTTTTTATCTGAAAAACAGATGATATCATATCAAGCCTGTCTTGTTCAATATTCGTTGTTTTATACGTTTGTTGATTCAGAGTTTTTACTGTTGGCAGCAATGGCCTATGACAGATATGTGTCTATATGTAAACCTCTGCAGTATCCAACTGTCATGAGAGGAAAAATGATCAGCATCTTTCTGGCTTTATCTTGGCTTGTGCCTGCTTGTCATGCTTTGGTATTAGCAGCACTGAGCTCTAAGCAAAAGCTCTGTAGCTCTACTCTGAGAGTAATTTTTTGTAATAACTCATTTTTTGAACTTTTTTGTGTACCATCAAGAGCAATATCTACATATGGTGTGTTCATGTTCCTAAATGATGTTGTTGTTCCTGTGATCTTCATAGTTTTCACATACAGCAGGATACTTATAATTTGTTACCACAGCAGTGGAGAAGTCAGGAGAAAAGCTGCACAGACCTGTGTTCCTCACTTGCTGGTTTTGATGAATTATTATATTTTGATAACATATGATCTTATTACAGGTCGACTGAAATCTGATTTTCCAAAAATTGCACATTTAATAATGACTTTACAATCAGTTTTGTACAATCCTGTTTTTAATCCAATTATATATGGACTAAAAATGAAAGAAATTGATAAACACCTCAAGAAATTGTTTTGGCAATATAAAATGAATTAATGTTATGAGCAGTGTGATTTATCTGATTCCTGAATATTTGTGAGGGTTTGCTTTGATTCTTAACACACAGTAAAGAGCATTGTCAGCTTCAAAACTGACTGATACATTTTTTTACCATTTCTCCAACATCCATTGTTTCTGCCCAGTGATCAGATCTTTTCTTTCTTGATGTTTAATTCTTCTTTGAATCAACTGTACACATGCAGAACCCTGCTAATCTGATGCAGCTCATTCAGCTGAGATGGAATAGACTGTTATGTAAATTTAGAATATGCTCACTTTAAAAATATTAAATGATATATTTACTTAGGTTAACTGTTACCACTAAACTGTGTCAAATAAATTGAGGAAAAAGTTATGAAATTAATTAGTACTCAATGTTGTTAAGCAACTCTCATAAAATTATCTTAATGATCAGAATCAGCTTTATTGGCCAGGTGTGTCGGACACGAGGAATCTGACTCTGGTACATCGGCTCTCAATGTGTACGTACATATCCCCATGCAAGGGGCAAGTAAACAGTAAACCAACATAAGGCTGTGTAATATAACATAATAAACAGTATAAACAGGCAGTAAACAATGCAGACAGACAAAGGAATATTCATTAGGAAACGAGATAAAAATACTTAAAAATAAAGACCTGTACAGATCTGTATAATCTGGTCAATGTATTGTAATACCCCAGTTCTTTAACTGGGGTATTTCTTCATTTAGTGCTGATTTATTTTAACCACAAGTAAACATTACAAACATGACCTGGGTTGCTCCCCCTTCCAGAGGCACACACACAGGCTGCTGGAAAGTGGAGCCCCTGGCCACACAGAGCCTAATACATTTATAAGTTTTGGGCTAACCCCTTACCCAGATGAAGTCAGTCCGAAGACTCCATCTCTTATCTAGCGCTCCACATGCTTGGAGCAGCTGCGTTTCTACCTAGTCATAACAAAGTGAATAATCTCAATGTGTGTGTATGTTGTCACATGGTGTGTAGCTAAGGCCTTCATTCATTTATTCAGACGTAATCCGAAATACAGTGTGTGAGGCCGTCTACATCCTCTCCATGAGGACTTAAGGAGTTACCTAAGTTATGCTGAATTAACTTCAGACAATCTTGTCCAATTTACTGAACACTGGTTCTCTTCATGTTGTTGGAGTTGATTCTACCTAATACAACTGAAACCAACTGGCTCTGTCATTGGGACTGTGTCACAGAAATACTATTTGGGCATTTTTATGTCACCTGACTTTATTAAATGACTCCATTATATGAAGTCCTCCTTAATGATTCCAAAAGAGTTTGGTTGTTGATTGTGACTTACAGTATAATGATGTACATTTAATTAAGCCACGATCATTTTTTGTCCAGGTAGTAGTCTAAAATAAAGTCAGTTGTCAGTGATAATTTCTGTCTCAGAGATGACCAATTGACAATGATCAAAGCAGGTGAAATTGTTTATTTTGTCCAAGTAAAAGTCAAAAGCACAAATGTATTGGGTTTTATGTGGCTCACTGGATCTTGTAGTGGTCAACAATAAACAAGGTTCCAGAGGTAATACTGTATGTAATAGAACAGTATGTAGTTCTATATAAATAATATATGGATATTATTTGTAATAGTTGTGTAAGGGTGAGCTAAGTGTCCATGCAAGCTTGATCTGTTTCTCTTCTCTTGCGCAAGCATGAATATCTTGGGCTGTGTCCCCCTTGATTAACTTATGGGTAAACATCCCAAGGAAGTCTAGATAGGGAATGGATATACTGTAGCTGCAGCCTATGTGAACTGTTCGTGTGCTCTGTTCAGGTTTAGAAAAAGGAAATGTGCACTAGGTCAATGTGACCTAGAAGTTCATGTACTGTACAGCTTAGACAATGCGCGGAAGAAGGTGTGTGAGGGTAGCTGGCATGGGACCGCGTCTTCATGGCTCAGGCCATGGAGGGCTGTGTAAATGTGAGCAGATAAAAAGCTGGGTTAGAGCAGAGAGAGAGGATGACAATGCTATTGGGACAGCAAACCGTGTACTTTGTGGGGACGCTGACCCAGCCGGCTGGGGGGACGCTGAATTAAGACTGACAGCTGACTGTGGGCTGACAAAGACTGACTGACTCTGTGACAACTCTCATGTAATACTGTATCTATTCCATTGCAGGAGGAGTGAATCTGTTCTCTGTTCCCTAACTACAAGATTATGTGTTTAAATACTACTCTTTTCAGAATAATTGTAATATTAAATGATCCTTTAAATTGGGATGGTTTGTCTGAATTAATTTAGTCGGCATCACACTCCAGCCATGACAATCTAACCCAAGGCTTACGGTCCACTGCAGGTGGGATTAATCTGTGTTTAAGGCCCTGCTGTGCTGTGTGTAAAGCCTGTTGCCATCCAACTCCAACACTTACACACCTATGCACATCTTGACTCCCTCATCCTGTTTGTGATTTCCATGGACAGGATCTCAAGATGAAGCTGGGGAAAGGAGTGTCCAGACCAGGGTCCTTAGTATTGCTTTTCTGCTTTTTGCAGATGATTTGGTTCTGTTGGCTTCAGTCCAGGACCTTCTACATGCACTGGGGTGGTTTGCAGTCGAGTGTGAAATGGTTGGGTTGACAATCCTCCAAATGTGAGGCCATGGTCTTGCTCACAAGTGAGGGCAAAATAGAGCGCAAGATTGCAGATAAGAGGGAGCTGAGCCAAAAGGCTAAGAGGGAGCTGAGCCAAAAGGCTAAGTTCTCAATTTACCAGTCAATCTACTGTATGTTCCAACCCTCACCTGTTGTCATGAGCTTTGGGCATAGGGATCTATTTAAATTAATGATATCTAATGTCAGGCTGCTGTATGGATTTGTCACAATAACAAAACAGGCAGCACACTTGGATTTCTGTTGAAACAATGCTCTTATGGGCAGTTTTATATTCTGAGACACAGTTATAGTTGAATTTACCAACAAGTTTGAGCTTCTTCTATCATTTAAACAGCGCATGTTGTTACTGTGCATTTGATGTGCGCCAGCTTGCACTGCAAGTGATTCATCCTATCTGTAATTCCTCACTGCACATTTGTTTTTTTTTTGTTAGTATTTTTGTAGTGAGCTACCAAAACTACAAAAAAAATTACCATTGCTTCTCTACTGTACTTGAGCCCCATTTGACCAGCCTCACCCCCTTTTTTCTTTCATCCTGACCACTCTCAGAGCAGGGAGGAGATCAAACAGATGGTGTCCAGGGTGTGAGGGGTCAGCAGTGATCCTCTCCGCCCTCCTTTTGACCCGTGAGGTGTACAGGTCCTCCATGGAGGGCAGGCTCACACCAATGACCTTTTCTGCAGTTCTGACTGTCCGCTGAAGTCTGTTCTTGTTCTGTTTGGTTGCTGAGCCAAACCAGACAGTGATGGAGGTGCAGAGGACAGACTGGATGATTCCTCTGTAGAACTGGATCAGCAGCTCCTGGGGCAGGTCGAACTTCCTGAGCTGGTGCAGGAAGTACATCATCTGCTGTGCCTTCTTGGTGATAGCCCTGATGTTGCATATCATGGGAGATAGTGGAGCCCAGGAACTTGTAGGACTTTACTGCTGATACAGTGCTGCAAAGTATGGTGGGGGGGGCAAGGTGGGAGGATTTTTCCTGAAGTCCACTGTCATCTCCACTGTTTTGAGCATGTTCATCTCCAGATTGTTGCGGCTACACCACAGGACCAGTTGCTCAACCTCACATCTGTAGGCTGACTCGTCATCATCTCAGATGAGACCAATGACCGTTGTGTCATCAGCAAACTTTAGGAGCTTGACAGAGGGGTCCTTCGAGATGCAGTCGTTGGTGTAGAGTGAAAACAGCAGAGGGGAGAACACACATCCCTGGGGGGCGCCTGTGCTTATTGTCT